TACAGAATAAGAATCCCCCAAATATGACTATATACTAATCTCTAAAACTTACAGAGATTTTGCAGGTGTGGTTATATTAGAGATTTCGAAATGGGAAGACTATGCTGAATTTTCCCAGTACATTCCTCAAAAACCAGAGGAGGAGGTGTAGTGACAAAAGCAAGCCAGAGCGACGCAATACCATGAGCCTTGCAAGGACAGCTCATTTTTATCCACAAAACAATCATTATCTAAAGATTCAACAAAATTTAAGTAATTATCTCAAAAGTGTTCATTATTTTAAGGAGATGGTTTGATGGGTATATTGAGGGCAACCTCAGTAAGGTGGGAAAAACAAGGAAATCAATGATCACCGAGAGTCTTCAGAAGAAATGTAGCATTGCTGATACAAATTCTATGCTTAGAATTAGAAGATAACAATCTTGTTTTGTTCTAAGCCACTGTTTGTAGTCGTTTGTTATAGTAGCAACAGGAAATAATTTACACCCATTTCATAAATAAGAAAACTGAGGTACAGAAAAATGAATTCCCTAAGACAATGCAGCTAGCCATACCTTTGTAGGATAAACCCAGAGTCCATGCTCACAACATCTATGAAATACTACCTTCAAATACAATTACAAAGATAAAAAAAAAGACATTTTAAATTTCTAGAGAAAAGAACTAACTAGCCTTCATAAAGAAATGGTTAAAAGAAAGAGCCATAACATAGCATCCAAAATAATGCATAAGACTATTTAAAAATCATAACCAAAAAAAAGCCCTCCAAAGCACATTTTATAGAAGAAAAGTTTCAAAACTGTTTTTCTGTCAATGTGCATATGAATGTGTTATTATTTTGTACATATGAAAAAACACAGTACAGAAAGTTAAACAAATTATTAAAAATAATCATATATATGGTAAGCCAAGGGGGTACTGGTATACAATGAACTTCTACATTGTAGTCAATATTTCGATATATTATTTATATGTTTTACAACCAGAATACTAGGGTGTATTTGAAAACAAGGCATTTGTAATGCAAGGAAATAAGCATGAACTTCCTACATTTGGTTAAAAAAGAAAGAAAGGCGTCCTCTGCTATACAGTTTAAAAGCCCTACCCTACAGTGACACCAAATGGTGGCAGATCAAAATACAGTATACAAACAGGACAACTGTTCAATTCAACCTCCCTATAAGTGTTTTAATTTCTTTGACGAACAGGCAGTTAACAATTTAATAATATGGATAGAAATACTCAACTCCAGAAGTTTTTACACAATGGAAGCCTAGTACTCCAAGTTTCAAATGCAAAATTGAGACCTCTTCCCAAGTCAATTAATCTTCTGATTCGATTGCATATTGAACATTTCTGCCACTGTGAAAACAAAATTTTACTTGAAACTTACTGACAAAAGAAATATTTCAAATAATAAAAAATGCAGTCTTACAAAATCATATCATACTCAGTAGGAACCAACCTCCAGTAAGTAACTAATATTTGGGGGGAGCTAAATGAGGAGTAGATGGGAGTGGGAAGAAATCTGAGACAGTTACTTCATTTACTGATATTATTGGATAGAAAATTTGGTTGACTAAAGCATGAGGCCAGGGGATTCCACGTATATACCAATTTCTTAACGAAGAAAATTTGCCTTAGATGGTGAAGGGGACAAGATATTTCAAATTAAGCACATCAGTCAGTACTTGGTACCCTCCGCCCAGAACCTAAGGCAGCAATAAACCAGCACTATAAACTTTCTCATTAATTTCAAGTCACAAAAAAAGATACAGAGTGCTACCATTCCCCCCTAGCACTTCTCTAAAACAGTTTACCCAGAACCCACACACCCTCAGCATAAACGATATTTTGCTTGCATTTTTGATGGCTTATTTTTATATGCCAATTTCTACCAAACAAATTACACAAATATAATATTATCAGCTACAAAAATAAGTCAATAATACCATCAATTAACCCATAGCATGGGTTTCCACTCCACCCACCACACCACCACTGTCACCAAAGCTACTAGACCTAAGGCATGGGCAGGAAAGCTCTTGAGAATCATCCTGCTCAAGTCAGCCAAGTTACAAGTCATAGCACCTCAAGGAGAATTAGTTTAGGAGAGTGCATTAAGAATAATGGATGAAGGATGAAACTCTTAATACCATAATAGTGCCTGTACATAGTACTAGCACATTTAAAACTGAAGTTTTTGTAATGAGTTATTAACAGTATTTTTAAAATCTTCTCCAAATTTCAAGGGAATGAAGAGGGACCTGAAACTCACTATTACTGGAGGTAGGGAGCGATTGTAGATATATGAAATGGCCTGGTGGTTGAAGGAAAGCTTCAAACACATGATTTAATCACTATTGACATATTACAGACATATTTGTATCTGAAATGTAAATTTGTGTACTGCACACTGTAGAACATGAAGACCTGGAGAGCCTTGTTGGCAGCAATACAAAAGTAAAACATATTTCAAATTATACATCATGTCATATATTCTAACTAACTTTCAACAGACATCACTTGTCAGTTTGGACTGACATTTTGGATGAGTCACTTTTGCATTAAGCCCTTCCTACCAGTAGAAAACAGCCCAACCTTCACTATTCCACAGATGACATTTATGGCTTTTTAGGTAGAAATGGTCACTAATTTAAACCAAGGTTTAACCAATAAGTAAATGTCCTTCTCCAACATAAAAAGTCTTATAAGAGTCAGGAGTTTAATTTACCTTGTGTTAATTACCCATCTTTGATATGAATATAATTCCAACTGTTTAATGAAGCTTAGTAGTATGGGAGGCTTGTAGAAATATACATAGTGATTATGGTCAATTTCCTAAAATCACCCAATTAGTGAATTTAAAACATATCACTGTTTAGTAATTGAATTTAAATTAAGACTTCGAACTAGAAAGGAGAATGAAAAACATCAACTATTTCATGCTGTTCTACATTTTTGTTTATTTCTTTTTTTGAGAATTCTTAAATACTGTTTGGAACTTTGAGCAGATCATCCCAATTTTGAAAAGGGAGAAAACCTAAGAATGGGGGGGGGCCCAGATTGGAAATTGTGAAACACTGAAACAGAACACAGTGAAGTTGAAGAATAATACTAATAGGAAAAAAACATACATACAAAGCTCTCAATGTTTCCTTAACTTTCTACTTCCTTCACCTAAATCACTACATTTCAAAGTACTGTTACCACCCAAACTAGTACATAAAACAAACTGTTCAAGAGTATCCATAATCAGCAGATCATAAAGCACTGTTCAGATTGCTCATAGCAGATGTTTTTCACCAACATTACTCTTGCCACATTAAATTCCATCTGCAATCAATAGTGACCAGGCATGAAATGTGTGCATTCAAAGTCAGTTTGAATTGACATATCCTGAAAGGGAAATGATCTACCTCTGTCTTAAAACTTCTCACACTAGTATCTAGGAATCTAATATACTTAACTTTCATATTCTATGAGTAACTGCTTGTGAATTGATGTCAAGTATAGATTTTTCAAAAAAGAGCAGGACCTGGATATTTTAAATACCCTGAAGATATCTAAAAGTTTGAACTCATTTTCTGTAACAACCACCAGGACTTGGAAAATGCTTTAAATTGCATCTGTGATGTTATGCAACATAAAAAGTCACTAACATGTAAGCTTAAAATATTTCAGATTTAATGCACAAAAGAGATTTTTCAAAATTTTAACTTTCTATTTTTATTTTCACTCAGGAATCAAAAAAGATGGGCAAAAATCTAGTAGTCTGTGATTTTTTTGAGAATTCTTAAGTATTATTTGGAACTTTAAGCAGATTGCCCCCCTTCTGAAGGGGAAGAAAGTCTAAGAGTGGAGGAGGTTGTGGTTGAAAATTTAATGGAAATTCTCCCCAATTCCTATTATTCTCAAATGAAGACAATGCAGGGAGAGCATCATATAGTTATCAATTGATCAGGTAGAACCATTTAAAGCAAGCAAGAACAGAACAAAATTAAAATAAGAGAAAAGATTACCTGAAGAATTGTTAAAAGCATAAAATCATTTTTGTCTATAAAAAAAAAGTCAATGAGTCAAAAAGGTTTATAATGAAAAGTTTCAAATCAAGTAGAAAGCCTTTTGTTTCTTCTGTGGTCTATCAGAGAAGCTTTTCTTTTTTTTTCTTTGGTGAAGGGCCCGGTGAGGAAGAATGGGTTAATGAAGAGTCAGGAAGTTGAAGATAAATGCAAACAAAATGCAAACTATGGCAAACAAGCTCCTTTAGTAAATACATCCAAATTTTCTAAATGGTATCAACTACAATCCCATTATGGAGATTGAAGATAAAAGGGAAATATAGTATAAAAAACATTACTTTAACCTATTGTTATGATGACCAAATGTAAACAACCTGCAACATGATATTTTAATTGTAAGAGAAAATAGGAAAAGATGACTTAACAAAAAGCTTAATTTTAAGTTGCCACATAGCTAGTATACAACACTGACAAGTATCTATACCTCAGAGTCCAGTTTCTATAGGAGTTGGAACAAGAGGACTTTTTTTAATGCATTGAATTTTTCTTAATCCTCATTACTAAGAAAGACCTTATTTCTAATTTAGAGCTGAAAATAAGAGATGAACTAAACTGATGTTTATAACAAGAAACTAAAGCTAATCTTGCAGAATGTGGGTATACAATTCTCTAGAATAAATCAATCTGTCTAGTCATAAGGACTGTAGCTTTCATTTACATCTTGAAAGTAAATAGAGAACACTTAAAAAAAATCACATTTTTACTTTTTAAAGTCCCTTGGACTTTAGTGATAGACAGTCAATATATTTTTTAAAAAGATAACTTTAATGACTATCCTTTGTTTAGAAAATTTGACATGATAAAAATTCAATGTTTGTGAGTAGTAATGATGTAAAAAGGCTGGTCATCGACTTTCCCGTTTTACAACATATAAAAAATTCCTCAAAAGAAAGATTAACGCTGAGAAACAGTACTCACCACAACAGCAAACTGCTCGGGTTCACATAAGTTGTTGTAATCATTCTTGAACTGAGACAATGAATTTAACTGCTCTTGATCAGGAAGATGTTTTATTAAGTTCTAAAAATTAAAACCAAAAAAGAAACATCTTCACTAAATGTGCTTCTTAAATTCTGGTTAATTTACTAATAATACTACAGAAAGGAAAGCAATGAAAAAGTTAATTTTCAGTCTTATTTCTAGGTAACCTCCCTTATCCTAAGCCTTCTTCAGCTACATTTCATTTCTTAAAAGCAGTCAATTTTCCTTTTCTCTGTTCCAGTGTCATTATATATTCAAATCAAGTGCTACGGAATGTTTATTTGATTAGCTATATAATTGAGAAAGAAGAACTCAGCCTATACCAAAGGAACAGCTTTCTCACCTGGATAAATGTGATCAATTACATTTCAGCTTTAGGGAATTAAATGTCAGAAATTTCAAGCAAAGCCAAACATATTTTAACACTTCACTCAGGGAGATAAAAGAAATCATATTACTACTAAAAGGTAGGGGAAAGAATAGAAAGGAAACCAAGGGAATTTTATGACAGTGCTTGCAAGATTTAACCAATGTGATTACAGCTTTAATAGTAAAAATGAAACTATTTCTGAAACAAAGACAAAATAACTTTTCAAATATGAAGGAAAATCTGAGAAGGCACTGAAGGCAGAATGATAAGGTTTGAGGAAAAGCTTATGAGGAGATCCTTTAGGAAGCAGGTGCTCCTGGCTGTAAGGGGCCTTTGGCTAAAGGGTCCAGAGGCCAACACCACAGACTCACTTGGTTGTTTTGGCCCCTCTGTATAAGAATATACTTTTCCAAGTTTCACAAAAGACAAAAGAAATAATCTCAATGGAGAAAAGCCAAGGGAACATATTTAATCATGCCTCCATGTTTGAATTCAAACAATAAAACATTCCTTTGCACAAAATCTACATAGATCCCAATGTAATTGCCTATAGTTGTATCATAACATGTTAGTGTATTAGTACTAAGAAAAAAGTGGTTGGTGCTCATATTTCCCAATTATAACATCAATGTATTCTGTAAAAGCCCAAAGTCAAGTAAAATTTTAATTAGGCCTACATCATGCTATATACTATTTATAGTGACAAAAATTCCCCAAAGGTGTTATTAGTTAAAACTGTTAGAAAATAATATAAATCAAAATAGTTACATAAAATAGCAAGTTTTTGACTCACTGTGTACCCTTCACAAAAACTTGGTTGACTGGCCAAAAACAAACAAAGAGTTGCAATTTAAGATCATCTCTAGGACAAAACTCACTAGTAGTACTAGTAAACTAAGTACAAAACAAAAAGCATGATTTTCCCCTGTAAACAGAAGTTTCTCTTAGAATTGCCTTAGACTGAAGACATGCTTATAGCTTTAAACATCTGTGACATCTGGACTGTTTGCATTACATCAAGCCTCCAAAATTGTTCAGCCCTCTTTCAGCTGATCAAACTACCTTGGATATTTTTAGTTAATAGGAATTTTGAAGTTGATTAATATTTTACAAAAATATTTTTGCTTCCTAGGTTAACGAATGACTGATTTGCAAGAGTACAGGCCCAAATTTCCTCTCTCCTTGTACCATATTTTCTACCCGGCACACAGGTAAGCTCATAAACTCCTCACAGTTGCCCACACCCACACAGCTGTCTCTTACAGCTCAGGAATTATTACTACCAGAATAACTGCCCTTCACTGCATCGCTCACACAGTGCTCTACCCTTTCCTACCTGCACATCTTACCCCACTTTCAAGAACCTTCACCTCTGAACATATACATACCTAATGCATCCTTACACACTAACCTGTTCTAAAGCAACCTTAATGAAACCATTTGAATCCTGTATTAAAATTATATTCGTGAGTGCCCTCTCCCTTGGTAAGGAATAAATCCAAAGAAGGCTTCTGATTGAGTTTAACACTTGTGGTGCATATGACAAGCACCACAAAATATTTGCTAAGTGAATTAGTAGAAGACTGATGGAACAAAGGTAAATGGATAAAGAATGAGGCAGAAAAATGATGTTAAAAACAACACATGACTGACATCTTGTTTTATATGAATAAACAACTAGATCTGCCAAACTAAACTCATGACAGTGAATAAAGTCTACCAAAATGATGATTATTACAAAGTAATATATTTTTCATGTTCTCTTTAAACAAGCAGTTCTTCACTTTAAAATTAGGAATACATTATTAAGCATAAAAATAAGACTTCAACTAGAATGATGTGTCTGATAAATATATGAGTACTGTGTTTATGTCCAACACTAAATTTTCTATTTTTATACTTATTAGATTGGTTTTATATTTTAGTAAGTAAGTGTGGTGAGCAGAATAGAGTCTCTCACCACCAACGGTACAGAAACCATAAAAGTTTTAGATTGTTACAAAGGGAATTAGATTCCAAATGTAATAAAGGTTTCATCAGCAGATCTTAAAATAGGGAGTTCATCTTGGATTACTGGATATTATAGGCCCCGATGTGGAAGAGGGAGACAACACAATAAAGAGAGAAGTGACTATAAAAGAAAAAAAAAAAAAACAGAGAAATGAAATATTGCTGTTTTGGAAGATGAAGGTGGCCACTAGCCAATGCAAGTGGCCATCCATAAGGAGCAAAAGTAAGACAAAGAAAGGTATGTTTCTCAAAAATACAAAGAATGCTAAGTCTAGTAACATTTTCACTTTAACACAGGAAGGTTCAAGTCAGGCAGAAATGTAAGATGATAACTTTGTGTGCTATTTTCATACACTAAATTTGTAGTAATTTGTTACAGTGGCAATAGAAACTGGAAATATTTATGATACTGAATATTCTTTGAGCAAAAGCTGAAAAATACAGATACTTTTTACTATCTCCACACAAGCCACATGAACATCCAAAACATTGATGCAATCAAGAAAAACTCATTATTTAAAAATGCAACAATATATTAAGTAAGAGAACTTTCTTTAAGGACCTAGAAATCTAATCCTAGCAACAAAGGAACAATAACAATAAAGGCAAAATATAGCAAAAAGAAAAGGCTAGAGAAAAAGTTCTTTAAGGGATGCTGAGTTAGTTCATGAGATTCATAAACACAAAACATCAGTAAAGAGGTTATATTACCACTGCATTGAGCAGAAAAGATCAGAGAGGCAAAACCAAGAACAACTTTTAAGGCTACCATTTAGTGATGGATTAAAATATCTAGAATACTTTTTATCAATTGTTGACAAAAGTAATTTTAGCTACTTTTTGTTAAAAAAAAGTATCTTAACTACACCTGTTTTGAAAATAATATATACTAAACTAAAAATATCACTTGTCTTACTATGTAATTTGTGATTTCATATTCCAACTTTAAATTCTATCAAGATATGTATTAATGTTGCCTTCTGTGGAACTAACAAAGATCTTCGACAACACATACTCTTTCCTTAAAAGTATCAGCAAGTAGAAACCGTTTAAAAAATCATCCAGCCTTCTGAATGAAAGCAGAATACTATACAAACTCAAGTATTCATAACAGCAGCATGACTCATTAAAAGTTAGCAAAGGTAACCCTAATTAACAATTCCCAAAACTATTATGCCAAGTAAATGAGACTTCTTAAGACATTTAAGGTCTATGGAAAAAGAAAAAAAACTGCTAAAAGAAGCATGCAAAAAATTTACATGAACATATTACTAGACTTAGTTGTAACCAAAAAAACTCAAACACATGAAAATTAAACAATTTGCCTTTCAGAAGCAGTCATTTAAAATAATTGAAATGTAATCATTTTGATAGCATTATATTTAGTTTGCAGTTAAGAGAAGATGCAGTTTTATCTCCAGGCAATGCAGAAGTCATGCTAAAACTAATTACACAGCAATGATTTTCCAGTTGGATGATTTGGTTTAAGAATTTTGCTTCACTTACAGATTTCTATTTAATGAGAAGCTTGCAATGAAATATTGGATTGTAAGCTCTCTGCCAGTTTGTTTACCTGAATCATAGACTCTGCCAAGTGTGTTTCATCCACTTCCAATATCATCCTTTTGATTTCCTCATATGGCACCCGAAAAGAGCTCAGGAAGATTGCTAAGAGAAAATAAGAAGTTCCTAATGAATAAGACTTTGAAACATAGTTCTATCTATAAAATTAAAAATGATTATAAAATGAGAGACTTTAAACATTTAATATAATACTATGGAGAAATTTCATTAACAAATTTTGTACCTGTCTCCATATTTAGAATTTTTGTTTAAACAATATTCCTACATTACTGCACTGGTTCTGAGGTTGATTTCTAATACTAAGTTATTAGCCTAACATAGGAATGGTGAAATTTTTCAGGTGATCATAAAACTGATATATGCAGATACATTAGAAAAATACCACACTACAATAAAAAAAAAACTTTTAAAAATTAAAAGAATCTACCAGATGGTTTCTCTTGTAGCAGCAATATAACAGAACAGGCGAGAAAATAATGATAATGATGAACAGCTATGTACCAGAGACATTTTGTGGGGGTGGAGTGGGTAATGGGATCAAAAACAGTGAGGGGAGGGAAATGCACTGAACTATGGTGATGGCATACGAGTGATTTGGTGATAGGAAGCCCAAGGGGATTGCAACTGAGATGGAAAAATGTACAAAAATATGTAAAAATAAACTAATATATAAAAAAATATAAAAGAATCTTAAGCCCCAACATGTGCAAACATTTGTTTAAATGTGTTATTCCCTTGTATTACATTTCCCATTCCTTCATATAACTCAGGGACAAAAAAAATATTTTAAAACTGCTAAGCAGTGCAATAATACTTCTACAAGTTATAATGACATTTTATTGTTCAGAAATACTAGACAATATGCCAGAAAAATAGCCTTTGTATGTAGCTGAACCTTACATATCTAATATTTGAAAACAATTTTTCGTAGTAAACTGCTTAAATGGATTAGATGGAATAATGTTATTACTAAAAATCCCAATAATATTTCTGTTTTTCTTGGTATCTCATATACCAAGTGTTAAACCATAATGATTTTCTGAAAAGCTAGTGAGGTATGTAAGGATATTTCACAGCATTAGATTTAGTTCATTTGCTCTTCCTTTCTTTTTCTGTTTCTTCTCACCAGTGATAGATGTCACTCACTTATTGAACATACTCAAAGCTTGCCACTAATACAAATTTAGTTTATATACTGAATTTATGACATTATATATATATATTTAAGCACACATATTTTCATATAGAGAGATTTTGCCTAGTTTTCATTAGACTCAGAAAAACAAGAAAGTTTTCTTTCCTGGGTTGAGGCTTTATTTCAGATTTCTGAGGACATAATGTATCATCTACATGTGAATAACAAGGGCACCATCTGTGTTCTTAAAGCCAACCTCACTTACACATTTCTAAATTTTAACAGTCATAAATGGAGTAATAGTACTAGAAATGATGGATGTGAACAATTCTTAATATCTCAACAAAGGAAAGTAGAATAATGGATATAAATAATGTCTGACAATCCAAAAGAAAAACACTAATGATAAAGCATTTAAAACAAAGCAAGGAAGCTGAGAGATAAACCTACCTCAAAATCTGGCACCTTTCCACCTTTAATTATTCTGCCATGAGATCCAAATAGGAAAATTGACAAAATCTATGTAAACTCAATTGAAAGACTAAGACTATATAGCAATATATATGTAAACACACACTCATATGTTAAACCTCAGGAGTAAGCAAACTGAGAAGACAAATTACTGATACACACGTGTATACATGTACACACACAGACTCTTCAAATTTGGTATGATTAACCTGAACCCTTGAAATGATTCACTTTATTTTCTCTAAGGATTTCTATGTTCCTTTTCAGGAAATCTTTAAAATACTTTAAAAATAACAGGAAATATATCTTTCACATTGAAAACAATAAATTCCACTCAAGAAACCCAGTTGGTGGATACAACAGCAAAATATAGAAAGGGTTATAATGTTAAGTACAAAGGCCCAAAGGATAGAATTACTGTGGAAAGTAACACAGTAATGGAGAAAGAAGTGGTAGTTATAGATTTCAGACATTTTGACAAAGTGAGAGATGCCCTTGAAAAGTCTTAAGAAAGATATACTTAACCTTAATCTTAAATGTATTTCTAAGGCATCCTGAAAGGAAGGGAAGTAGAAATTATGGGAGAAAATAAAATAATTATCTAAAGAAGTAAATCAATAACAATTTATAATAAATTGCAAATTCTTCAACTTATGAATTAGACATGAGACTGAAAATGAAGTAGAAAAAGAGGCTATGTATACTGCAACACAAAGAAATAGAAAAAATACTAAGAGATACAATAGATGAGAAAGAATAACATAAAGATTACCAGTTGGAGTCCCAAGTCAAAATAAAAATGAGAAAACAAGCAGTATTTCTGAAGAGGAAATATCACAGAATTTTCCATAATTAAAGACACACAAATCATTAGATCAAAGTGGTACAATAAATTACAAAAACAATAAAACAGTTAAAAGTCACACTGGATCCTTATAAAGCCGGGTGTTTGGTGAAGTTACAGAGTGGAAATACATAGTAAAAACACAGAACAGGTATCTACCCTGAGTAGGAGGTTATCAAGCTTTTTCCAAAAAGGACATATAATAAATATTTTAGGTGTTTTTGTTTTCGTGGTAACGAACTATAAGCATGAAAAAAGAAAAAAAGAAAGGAAAAACAGCTTTCAGTGAAATCTTGGAGTCCTTTCAACAAAATGTCAAACTTAGGAGTGGTATAAAGGACCCCAACCTCTGAACTGTTGTCAGAAATCCTAATTTTGCTAATTTAAAAAAAGTATGATCTTGTCTACACAATGATGTAAATAGCAGAAAATATATAAAGAATTAATACAGTTAATAATACATGAAAAGATGACATGTTAACAGAAGAATTTACACTGCAGATGAACATAATTTGGATCTTTATGTCTTTGACATTAGTAATTCACACACTAACCTCAGATATTATTCAAAAATTAAAATAGCACACATATTAAAAATCTATGTGTAGAGATAAAACTAAGGTATCGTTATAGTTGATGAGTAAATGGTTTTAGAAAAAAATATACTTTATCTAAGAGTGAAAAACGTACAGAAAAGCACCCTTCCTAGTTGTGCAATGGGTTAAAAGCACAGCACTATGAAGCTATGCAAAGCCACTGGAGCATGCCATCCCCTAGGCTAAGGAGGTGACCCACATGGTGCAGCACATCTCGGCTGTCCCACCCTCTGATTCCCCTCAGCAGTGTATTTCAGTCAATCTGCCTGTTCTGTTCTCTACTCTGTCTCTGGTGAATCCTCTCAACCACCACCCCAGCCTGTTGCCCAGTTCCTGCATGCATAAATGAACTTTTTTTTGTAAAAAGTACAGAAAAATGACACTAGCCTAATAACACACGATTCAGAAGACAACCACAGACCTTATTTAAATACTTAAAAGTTAGAGGATTTCAGACTTAGTAAAAGCCTCGAAAAGACCCATTAAAATGAATCCTTTTACTAGTGTACATCTTATCCTTCAAAAGGTGATTTAAAGACCTCAGTGGGTTCTGTGAAAAAGAATAAAGTGTACAGAATTTGCAACCAGTCACATATGTTTTCTGTAAGGGAACTGATAAATAGTTAAACCTTTACATTAATTTGTAGATTCTAAAATCCTCCCTTTCTAGCTCTGATACATACTCAAGAAATCCGGTAAAATATATGAATCTTGTAAAACTTCTCTGGGTATGACTGGAATTCTAATTTTAGTTTCTTAGCATGTCTTTCTTCCATTCTTAGAATGACTGGAATTCTAATTTTAATTTCTTAAATTTTAATTTTGTTGTTAAGATCATATTGGTATATAATATTGCACATGATTTTTGAGTATCTTCAAGTGTGTTTTATCATACCCCCATCAAAACACCCAAAATCCTCTACTAGAACCCACTATGTTGAGTCCAGAGTCTTTACCAAACACTTTATGAACTCAAAATATGAACTCAAAATATGAGGAGCCTAGCCTAGCTTTAAATTAGTTAATTTAGGGTACTAAATGAGTTAATTACAAATCTTTTCCTCAAAATCCAGTACATATTTTAATTAAGAGAACTCAGATAATTCTTCTATCAGAAGGCCCCTCCAAACACTCAGTATCTCAAAAGATTCTAAAATTTCATAGACAGAAACTAGCTGTGAATCACACTGTAATTACAGTAAAAAGTATGGGTTACAAAGACTTCTTGAAGCTTAAATTGAACATTACACTAACAGAGGAAGAATGATCCTAAAATGGACAGTATCATATAATGACATGGTACAAATTACACTTCAAAACATGTTTGATAGTTAAATGAATATATAATGATTTTAACACACACACTCACACCTGTAGCAAAAGCAAACAAGATAAGCATCTTTATCTATGACAATGTGATGTTGTTGTATCTAAACAGGAATAGATATGCCTTATGTCTATTCACTTTTTTCAAAATGAACCACCACAGAAGTCATTGAAAGGACACAACCACCTAAAATATCAGTGCTACTACCTATGTGATAGGATGGTAATAAGACTTCAGGGTCAAATGCAGAACTGGTATATAGAGGTAATCAATAATTCTTATTAACAACTGCGATAAGAGTTTGAAATCCTATTTGTACCTATTCTGTAATATATAAATGATACCAAAATAAAATTCTGCTCAAAAAGACAACTATTTGACTTTAAGATAGATATTTAGGTCAACTTATCATAGCTGACCCATCTAAAAAAATTATACTTAAAATGGTATTTCTAAAGGTTCCTTAACATTAACAAAGTTATTAAGAATCAAGACTATCAATTTGTAAAACAGGTCATGGACATTTTTCATGAATGCTTTTAACTGAGACAATGTTCCTTCAAGGAGAAAAATTTCCTGAAGTATCCACAAGTAACAATTCTCCCCCAAAGTTTCAGTGGTGTAAGCACAAAATGAAATTATGATTCAGACTATGTATCCACCACATATCAGAAGGACAAAGTTTTGTTACGCAGGAACCTGGCAGAGATGACAGATGCCATTCTGACTGTCACTCCAGGGGTATGGGAAAGAGCACTTAAGTTTCTCGTATCAGCAATTAAATGCTCCCACACACACACACAAAAAAAAGCCACCTCACTGCCATTGGCTCAAACAAGTGGCATGGCAGCATCTAACTCCAAAGAAACAAAGATGTCCAATCAACTACTTCTGAGCACAGATATAGTTACATTTTGGCCAACAGAAAGAATATCCACAAACTATCCTTGGGATGTTGGCAGTCTTCCATCATAGAAAAGAGATTCTTCTAACACAGTGAACATGAAAAGATTCCAAAGTTTTCATAAAAGAATTTTAACTTTCAATTGTATGGTGAAGAATAGAAATAGACTTTCAAGGGTGAATTTAATGATTTTTAATAATGCACACCTGAAACTTATATAATGTTATAATGCAGTGTTATTTCAATTAAAAAAAATGTCAGCTTTGCACTGGACACACTACTTCAACACAACTTTCTTTTTACCTCTCAACGAAGAATAATCTTGTTCTAATACTCTAAAAGCTCACAAGAGGCATGCAGTAATTGAGAGGCAGACTATAAGACATGTTAACTCTTTATGCCTCTGGTACCAACACATTATATCCCCAACAAATCCCTCTTACAACATCAGAAAGTAATATACATAAGGATCATATTATCTCAGTTCCAAGCAGAACTGTCTTTGATGCATATAAGATAGAGTTAGAACTGAGTTAGAAACAAAAGTATTTGCCCTTTTATACCACAGTAATTCAGTCAGAAAGAAAACTCAATACTAAGTATTTAGGTCCTGTAACACCAATTAAATCTAAAATATTTCCAGACAGTACTTTTGAGAAAAGCTTTGAACTATTCTGATAGGATAATAGAATTTATTTTACTCATCAACCTTATTTTCATTAATACTCTGACCTCTTTTGTGTGCAATCAAGCATCAGAAATAAGGGGGAAAAAAATCAGAGCTATGTAAAATATAATCCACCTCCAGTTTTTGCAAAATATGTATTACCTAAATTTCTTATTTTTTTTTTAAATATTTGTAAGGGGGGATTTTTAAGAGATAACTTTCTTGTCAGTTATGAGAAATACATTTTCATTCTAAATCCATTTCTTAGCCTTTATTTTTTAAATATGTATTAATCTTTTGAAAAATTTAAGCCCATACTTTGCCTAAGGGAAATGAATCATCATTGAACTTATTATGCTAATAGTAAAATTAATATAACATAAAATGAAAAATGAGTCATAAAATGAATTTAGAGGAACCACCTCCAATGTGTTTTGCTAATAAAATAGAAATCTGATACTTACAAAGATTCTGGGCAATTTTAGAATCTAGAAATTTCAGTTCTTTGATTTTTTTCTTAAGAGCTTTTTTTTCTTCAAAATCTTCCTCTTCTCTTCTCTCTGTAAAACCAAGGAAAGATTCATGTTAGGTGCAATTAGACCTTCAACTGAAAAAGAACAGGAAGTCTACTTTCTATCATCAAAGAATACAAGAATAAATATTTTAAATCACATAGTTATAAAAATAGACTAAACTGTTTCATAGGCATCAGTAACTCTCTACTAGAAAAAGACTAAGAGTAAATATGTGAAAGTCTAATGGGAAAACAAAAAGGGAAATGACATGCACTATGGAAACAAACACAATTAGGTGTATAATAAGTAATTAGTTATAGAATAAGTACAGTTGGTTCATTTGAACTGTATACAGGATATAATTATAAGAATAAATACTTATTTACACTTAGGGTAGGTTAAGAAATTAAATCTAAGAGTGTTAAACAAAACAACCATTTTAGAGGCCTCCCTGGTGGCTCAGGGGTTAAAATCTCAGCAGCCACTGAAGCATGAGTTCTATCCCCAATACTGCACAGGGCAGATAACCCACATGGCACAGCAGACCTGTCCTGTCTTACCTGCTGCTCTCCTCAGCAGTGTATCTCAGCAGATCCACCTGTTCTGCTCCCCACTGTCTCTGATAAATTCTCTCACCCCTGCACTTTTGGCCTACATCCCAGTTTTTGTATGCATAAGTTAATAAATCTTTAATAAAAAAATAAACAACACTGTTTTATGTTTGCTATACTACTTAACAGGAAGAGTAGAATGTTTAGAATTTACTCTTCAAATTTTTTGAAAAAAGTCAAATTGTGATAATCAATGTATTTCATCTGTTTTAAAAAGCAACAAATGAATTAAACTTTATATTCATGCAAAAGAGAATAAATAAATCATGCTGAACACTAACACATGGTCTGTAGTTACAACACAGTCTAAGATAGCCAAGGTTAACAGCTATAACATGGCATCTTTCCCTCTAATGTGTCACTGGTTATCTTACAAAATTAGCATATTGAGAACAAACAATGAAACAAGGTGTTTTTAGTTAGAAAAGTAATGTTGGAAAAAAACTTCCAAAAGACTATGAGGCGCATTAGTACATTATATTATTCTACATTAGAAGAACATATTATAATTCATGCTTTGGTATACAAACTAAAGTAGAAAATCACATTTTATAGTTTTCAAAATATTAACTAGTTACCTGCATTATTTTATGAATAATCAACCATCTTTCTCAGTTGATCTTACATTACACTTTTCCTTATACTTGTTTTTCTGAATTTTTAACTCTGCCCCATTGTTCTATGTATTACTCTTACGCTACTGACATTCTGTTTAAGCTTGAAGATGTATTTTACTATTTGGTTATTCAAATTATTTTTCTGCCTTTCTCAACTTCCTTCATTTACTCAGTCATTTGTTTTCCTATAGAGCTTAGAGAAATATAAGAGTTCCAAAAGTGAAATCTATTTGACTTACAATTAACTTGCAAATATACTCAGGGAGGTTTGATATGCTGACAACTTTCCAATCATAAATATATGACGTATGTCTATATAATAATTCAACTTAATACAGTCTTCTTCATAAACAACCTATACAATTATTGTTAATGTTGGCATACTAAGGTGTTATTGTTGGCATACTAAGAATACCTAAATTATACTCATATATATTGATGGGGGAAGTGCAGAAGGATTGATTAGCTGTACATTTTGCTACTGTACTTCATAATTAAATGCTACTAGAATACAGAAATTTTTATGAATTTTGTTCAGATGGCTTATAGTCAGCTACTTATTTTATCTTTAATTTGAGTAAGAAATTCTTATTAAGCACCAGCTAAAAGGAACAATGCCTCACAGAATTTAAGTAACCAATAGAGATATTATGAAGTGAATTGCAATTATAATACATAGATACAGTTGTGATGATTTTGCAAGATATACAGAAGAATTAAAGAAGAGCTTCAATTCCTTAAATTCTTTTTTAATTCTCTGATTTAAAGATAGCTAAATCATAGGTTGGAAGAGGAAAGCAATTTTCCAGAGGAGAAGATTTTGGGGTAGGAAGGAGGAAAATTAGAAAATAAAAGAATAAGCATTCAGATATCTCTAAGCACAAGATCTTGAAGGGGCCAAACATGAAACTAGTAATAGTAGTACATACTGAGTAGGAATAAGTGACACCAAATAAACCAGGTGGATAAACCAGGCACCAGATCACTCAAGATATTTCGAATTGGGTTAAGATGTGTGGATGTTAGTCTCAGAGCAATCATGAGCCACCGAGGACTTAAGACAGAGACATTGGTCAGACTGCATTTCAGAAGAAATGCAGCTAGTTAAGGTGAAATGAGGAAGTGCAAAGGCAATGGTAGACGGTAAAACAGAAGGTGGTTATAGGAATCCTAAGAAATTAAATGGTGCCCTCATCTACAGGATGGGAGGAAAGGGTGAATTTCAAAAGGAGAAACCAGCCCAGACCTGACTCCTATGTTCCAGACTTAGTTGAATATCCAACTGCCTACTCTCAACAACTCTACTTGGATGTTGAAAGGACACCTTCAACTTAACATGTATAAAGACTCATGTGTGCCTGCACACACCCACACCACACCCACACCCTCTTCCTTACCTCACATAATATAAATGCTCTTGCTGCAACTGTTTAAGTCTAAAAGCATAAAGTTGTCCTTTGTTACAACATCATATCTAGTCAAAATTCTATCTATCAGTGAATATGGTCAATTCTAACTTCAAAATTTTCACTAAATTAAGCACGAATAGTGTACTATTCACCACCTCCCTCACTGCTACTATCCCCAGCTGATAGCTACTATCTTTTCTCATCTGGATCATAAATGCTTTCTAACTAGTTTCCATGTCTAGTTTTGACAAACTGCATTCCCTTTACACAGTGAGGTAGAAGCTGCCTGCTAGCCATAATGTAAGAAATTCTTCCCATCCAGTAGTCCCTATTACTACCACTTTTAATACCTCATGAAAAGCATTACTTTTTTATATCTCAAGGTCTGTCTTCCCCTAATATTCCTCCATGGTCCTCAGAGATGGAACATTTGTTCACCATTCTATCATTAACATCAAGAGTAAAACCTGGAGGTGCTCAATAAATGTCTGTTGGATATATATGACTGTTTTTATGTATGTATGACCCTCCAGACTCTGGGAGAAAAGGAAGGAACACATAAATGATTGTATGTTGTTTAATTTAGTGAGGTTTAAGCTAGTACAGTTTTAAACAAGTTCAATTGGAGGGGGGGGGGTTGTTCTTATAAGTCCACATGACCATGTACAAGAGGCAGTTGGAAGTATAGAGTGAAGAGAAATCTGAAATGGTTTTACTAGCTACTCTATTCATTGTCAGAGGTATTTCAGCTACCAGAAAAAAATAAATAAACACATATTCGTCTCATTTCCAATATTAAACCTTTTCATTTGCTATACTGGTTAAAATTTTCAGATACAGGCTACTAAGAAGTATGTTAGTACACTAGCTTTCCATATCTTGACTGAACAGCAACCTTTCACAAATTAGAAAATGTATCCATTTTCTTTATTCCCCAACAAAGATCAGATGCTAATTTTTTTTAAATCAGCTTGTTTCTTAACACCAGTATCCTTTTGCATGCTGAAATATTTTCAAGTATTCCTAAAGAAAACAAGTCAAAGAAACTAACAACCTTAAAATTTAAATGTCTACTGGACATCTCTCCCACACCACACTACACACATTCTGAAGCACTTTCCTATGTGAATTTCAGAATAGTCGTACTGCTGCTGTGATGACTTACAGCATTATCATTAGGAGAAAAGCACTGCTAGAGGTAAGTAAAGTAACAGATCTGATCAAAGAATGAAGCCCATCAGACTCTGACTCCAATATTCTTCTGAATTAGTTATGAAATATGGCAGTTGTTACATTAAAAAAAAAGTTACTAATCTTAACTACTTCAACTTCGAAATCAGAGACTTCATTTAAACAATTCTGCCTTTTCATAAAAATGATAAATTGGAACTTTACTGAGTTTAATGTATCACTCTACCTAAAATACAACAAAATTATGGTTTTCTCCTCTCTGCTTCCATATAGTCAAAGGACTGAAGAAGGGAAATGAAACTGAAATAGTGAGCAGAGTTTGGACAGAGGGATGACAAGCAGCAAAGTTTTCTAAGAGGAAACAAAAGGATTTAAAAAAGGGAGGGGTAAAAATTTGCTTGTATTGATATGAAACCAGACAGTATTATACAAATTGAATAATTTGGATAAAACCTTTCATAATGAGAAATAATGAGTGATTTTTTTAACTCAGCTAGATAACGGATTTCATATCATTGAATATGTTTATGCAAAGGTCACTGATAAAGCAGGATCTACACGTTGATAACATAACAAATGATTCAAGAAGACTATGAATAAGGGAGCATAAGTTTAGCGGGAATGAAGTTTTTACACAGTTATATTTCAATTACCCATGCTGATGGTATCACTGTGAAATGCCAGCAAAGAGAGACAGGTTCCTGCAAGGACACTGGACTCCAACCAGATTCTGCATGCTGACCTCACCATCTATCAGACCAGTCAGTGAACCCCACTGGGGCTTATGTCCCTTTTCTATGATGTTACGACAGTGGTCCCTAGGAGAAGTTGTCAATTGAAATACTTACCATCGGTAATCCTTCCTCAACCCTACAGTGATGAAAGACAGAGAGCCGAAATCAGTGTCTAACCACAACTCAAAAGCTGAGAATGGGCTCTCCCTGGTGGCACAACAGGTTAAAGTGCAGCACTATGATGCTATCTACAGCCACTGCAGCACAAGCTCGATCGCTGGCCCAGGAAGTGACCAACATGAGTGGCAGACTTCTCCTAGCATGCCCGCTGCTCCCCTCAGCAGTGTATTTCTCTCATTTTGCTTGTTCTGCTCTCCACTCTGTCTCTGGTGAATCCTCTTGCCCACCCCCCCTCCCCACCCCGCACCTCTGGCCTGTACCACAGCTCTGTATGCATAAAGAAATCTTCAAAAAAAAAAAAAA